TATTTTTCCTCCTCTCTCCTCCTCCTCCTCCTCTCCTCCTCCTCGCCGCCCTCTCCTCCTCTCTCCTCCTCCTCCTCCTCTCCTCCTCCTCCTCCTCCTCCTCCTCCTCCTCTTCCTCCTCCTCCTCCTCCTCCTCCTCCTCGCCGCCCTCCCCCTCTCGACCTCGGGCCAGGCGGCCTGGCCCGCGGGGCTCTCCGGCGCAGCGCCCAGCAGCACCCAGCGCCTCCTACGGCGTGCGCTGCATCGGCGGCAGAGATCGCTCCGCGCGTCGCCGTCACTGGTTGGAAGGGGAGGGGGAGGAGGGGGAGGAGGAGGAGGAGGAGGAGGAGGAGGAGGAGGAGGAGGAAGAGGAGGAGATGGGGGGAGGAAGAGGTGCCCATACCTCTGCCCTTCCCTCGTGCTGCCCTCTGTGGGCCTCCTGGGCGGCTCTCGTCGCCACCGCCGCAGTGGCCTCAAAGTTCTGGTGAGAGCGCACCCCAGGAGAGGTCCGGGGAGTAGCGGTGTCGGCACCGTTTGGTTGTTCCAAAACCAAAGGAGCACGAGGTCATGACAATGATACGTTCCAGAATTTCCAAGGCTTCCCGGCTTTTCATCGATTTCTTTGATCGGCGTTGGGCCCGTCTGGCGGCGCCTCCGGCACCGCCCTTGGCGCGCTCCGCGAGATAGGGAGGGGCGGTGTCCAGCGCCGACCTGAGAAATCCGAGCGGACCGCCGAGTTGTTTTGCTTATGTGCCATTGCTCGTTCCCTAAGTTTCGATCCCTGCGATCCGATTCGAGTCGCTTTCGATGGCTCCCGATTCCGGTGTGAGCCGACCTCGGAGTCCGATTCGGAGTCCGATTTCTGAACAGAAGCCTTACCAGCCTGTCCGACGACCGCCGATTCGATTCCATAGGCTTACGCCACATCCGCCGACCCCTTTATATGAACTATTGCGCCTTCAGGACTGCATTTCACGAGGCTTGTCCGAATCATGGCGCGGCGCTCGTTGCTTCGTTGTTGTTTTCGTACCTCTTGGCGCTCTTTCGTGACCTTTCGGTGGCATCTTGGCCTGTCTGCAGGCCATATCTGGCCGCCTCGAGGCATCTTGGGCGAAGTTTTGGGGGCTTCCTGGGGCCTTATTGGAGGCCTTTGAGGTTCTCTTGGGGTTCCGCAGGGCCTCTTGGGGTGTTCTTGTGGCAGGCTGGGGGCGTCTTGGGGACGAAAGCTCGAAAAGGTGCCCTCTGGACTCCGTCTTGGAGCCGTCTGGGGCCCTCGTGGGCTGTCTTGGGGGCTTCGTAAGCTGTTGTTGGACCCTTTTCGACCCTTCTTGGGGGCCCCTTTGGCCGTCTGGGGGCGATATTGAAGGTTTCTTTGCCCGTCTGGGACGTTGTAAAAACAGAATAAGCGAGCATGTGAAACATGTTTGTTTCTCGAAGGGAATGGGACGATTTCTGTTTCTTGGGACCTTCTTGGGGCGCATCTATAGGGTCTTTTGGGGCGTCTTAGCAGCTTAGGAGGCCGCCTGGAGGCCATCGTGGGCGTCCAGGGGCGATATTTCAGCGAATCGTGGCCCCCTGGGACCGTCTGGGAAGCGTATTGCGTGGCGCGTTCGGTCCGGGGTCCGGCTCGGCCTGGGGGGGGGGGGGGCGTCAAATCGCCAGTTTGGGGATCCTGGGGGGGGATTATGGGGGGGGATTATCTCACACGCCTAGAGACCCACTCGGGGTTGGACAGAACCCCCAACAGTGACACGTCGATTAGTGAATTGTCCGTGGTCGGCTCTCGAGAGGGCGCCGTGGCCGTTATTTTCCAGGCTTGCGCCCGCCAGGTTTGGGCCTCAGGTCGTTTTCACGAAACCGCGTTTTACCAAAGGGAGGTTTGTCCATCCCCGATAGTCTTCGGCCTCCGGGGGCCCTTTGCTGGGCCTCGGGACCGGCAAACAAAGGACTCAGGATGAAAAACCGGTCCCGGGGAAAGGATCGGGACTTCCGGGGACGCCGTCCCAGAACAAAAACATGACGTCGCACGTCTGTCCATCCCGACCCACAAGGGGTCGGCGGACTCCTCCCGACGGGAGCGCCGCCGCCGAGGGCTCCGCGAGCTCCGTCGGGCCCGCGGGTCTGGCCGCGCCGCCGGCTCCGAGGGGCCGCGGGCGCCCGAGGGGTTCCGACGGGCCAGCGTTGGCGCGGACAGCGGCGCCGTGGACGCGGGGAGGCCGACGCCGAGGGCTCCGAGGGCTCCAGGGAGTCCGATCGGCGGCGGGGTCCTCCTCCTCCTCCTCCTCCTCCTCCTCCTCCTCCTCCTCATTCTCATCCTCCCCCTCCTCCCCCTCCTCCTCCTCCTCCTCTTCCTCCTCCTCCTTCATTCCTCCTCCTTGTATTTTTCCTCCTCCCCTCCTCCTCCTCCTCCTCCACCTCCTCCTCCTCCTCCTCGCCGCCCTCTCCTCCTCCTCCTCCTCCTCCTCCTCCTCCTCCTCCTCCTCCTCCTCCTCCTCCTCCTCCTCCTCCTCCTAGGTGGATCACGAAGAGCGACGGGGCGAGGAGGGAGGGCTACCTATCTGTCGTTGACAGGAAGTATGTTTTGAATATTCAGGTTCCACTCTACTTTGAGCGCCTTCCTACTCCAATGGTCGAGTGGCTTCACCATTTCCGTCCTCTTCAGGGAGCGCGCGGCAGCCCAATCTAACTTCACCGCTTTCGTGCATCATGTTCCTATTTACTTGTTCCGACCGAGGGGTATCCTCACCGATCAACGACTCAGGCAACTCAACGGGCTTCGGGGGTAGTCCCATGCGGGGATGTGTCCACACCCACTATCCGGGGGAGCGATCTTTGGGGACCTCGGCAGGCGGTGGATGTGTATATCTTCCGCCCCCCTGTGGGGATCAACTGGATGAGCGGACTGACGCCGTCAGTTTCCGTAGCCATTTTGGCTCGAACCGTCTTGCTTTTGGTCGATCTTCCTCGACCCTCTGTCGGCTCTATGTGGCGGAAGTGGGAGCTATTCGCAGCGTAGAGAGTTGCAGAGAGTCGGTCGCGGTCGCCATGGACCCCACGACGGGCGAGCGCGAGAGCATCATCGACGCCGCCAGCCTGCTCACCTGGGCGGGGCTGGAAGCCTTGGCACTGTGCGCGGCGACCCGCTGCGCGTGCTCGCCGCGGTGGGTGTCGATCAGTTCGCCTCGTCGACGGCGGGGTCACTGCTGGCGGCAACGCGCCCAAGCCGGCAATGGCTAGCATTGTGGAAGTCGATTAATGGAGAGGAAGCGTGCTGCCAAATAAGTACCAGATGTCTAAAATATGGTTCAAACATGCTTTAACTATGTAAATTAGCCTGGCGAAAGACCCAACCATACGCAGTTGTGAGTGCCGCAATTGTGCATATCTTCTTCAATGGCGCTCCCTATGGGGCCACAAAACCTTGCACTGGGTGAGTGAAACGCAGGGAGCAAGGGCTGTGATGTGTGGTGGCGGACGCATGCGGGCGGTGCCAATGGGACATTTGGTGGAGCCCCCTTATGGGGCCACGAAACGCTGTAATGAGTGGGCGAAACGCAGGGAGCAAGGGCTGTGATGGGTGGTGGCGGACGCATGCGGGCGATGCCACTTGGACCTTCGGTGGAGCTCCCTATGGGGCCACGAAATGCTGTACTGGGTGGGTGAAACGAAGGGAAACATGGCTGTACTGGGTGGTGGCGGGCGCATGCGAGCGGTGCCACTGGGACCTTCGGTGGAGCTCCCTATGTGGCCACGAAGCGTTGTACTGGGTGGGTGAAACGAAGGGAGTAATGGCTGTATTCGGTGGTGGCGGACGCATGCGGGCGGTGCCACGAAACCCTGTACTTGGTGGGTGAAACGCAGGGAACAAAGGCTGTGCTGGGTGGTGGCGGACGCATGCGGGCGGTGCCAGTGGGACCTTCGGTGGAGCTCCCTATGTGGCCACGAAGCGTTGTACTGGGTGGGTGAAACGAAGGGAGTAATGGCTGTATTCGGTGGTGGCGGACGCACGCGGGCGGTGCCACGAAACCCTGTACTTGGTGGGTGAAACGCAGGGAACAAAGGCTGTGCTGGGTGGTGGCGGACGCATGCGGGCGGTGCCAGTGGGACCTTCGGTGGAGCCCCAAATGTGGCCACGAAACGCTGTAGTGGGTGGGCGAAACGCAAGGGAGCAAGGGCTGTGCTGGGTGGTGGCGGACGCATGCGGCGGTGCCACTGGGAACTTCGGTGGGCCACGAAACCCTACACTGGGTGAGTGAAACGCAGGGAGCAAGGGCTGTGCTGGGTGGTGGCGGACGCATGCGGGCGGTGCCAGTGGGACCTTCGGTGGAGCCCCAAATGTGGCCACGAAGCGCTGTACTGGGTGGGCGAAACGCAGGGAGCAAGGGCTGTGCTGGGTGGTGGCGGACGCATGCGGCGGTGCCACTGGGAACTTCGGTGGGCCACGAAACCCTGCACTGGGTGAGTGAAACGCAGGGAGCAAGGGCTGTGCTGGGTGGTGGCGGACGCATGCGGGCGGTGCCAGTGGGACCTTCGGTGGAGCCCCAAATGTGGCCACGAAGCGTTGTACTGGGTGGGCGAAACGCAGGGAGCAAGGGCTGTGCTGGGTGGTGGCGGACGCATGCGGCGGTGCCACTGGAAACTTCGGTGGGCCACGAAACGCTGTAGTGGGTGGCGCGCAGGGAGCAAGGGCCGTGTTGGGTGGTGGCGGACGCATGCGGGCGGTGCCACTGGGACTTTCGGTGGAGCTTCCTATGGGGCCACGAAATGCTGTACTGGGTGGGTGAAACGCAGGGAGCAAGGGCTCTGCTGGGCGGTGGCGGACGCATGCGGGCGGTCCCACTCGGGGTTTCGGTGGAGCTCCCTATGGGGCCACGAAGCGCTGTACATGTTAAACACATGTTTAATTCAATGATCGGATTGTTGGAGTGTCCATTAGCATGGCATTCGTAAGGCTAGCATGATGCCTGGCGCTCACCGCGCGGCGCGCGTGCTGTACGGCCTTGAGCGTCCCGCCGCGGAAGGTGCCAGACCCGTAGCGAGCTGTCGCGCCGGCGCAGGCTCTGGCACAGGCCAGGAAGCATGCCATCGACCCGCTGCGATGCCTCGCGAGCGAGTTCCGCAAGCGACTGCAGGGCAGGGCTGTCGCGATGGGGGAAGTGTCGGGCAGGCGCAGGCGAGCGCGACGCGCGAGAGCCTGGAGGGTTTCGCGACGCGCCTGGAGGCGATCGAGGCGCTTGCGGCCGACGACGAGCGACAAGAGGGAGAACTGGCAGCTCTTCGTGCTCGGTGCGATGACATTGACAGCGCCTCGGAGAGGCCGCGGCGTGTGGTCAACAAGGCGGCCATGCGTCTCCGCCGGAGCGGCGGCTCCAGGCGTCTCTCCCTCCTGGGTGGCCCCAGGCGCATGCCGTGCGGATGGTGCTGCTGAACCGCGACCAGCGAGGTACTTCGTGGGCCGCCGACCACTGTCACCGCAGACCGTTTTCTCTTCCCGCTGCCTCCCTGAGGTGCGGGAGCAGCGGTCGTGGGAGGTTTCTGACAGCGAGCCCGATGCGTACGCTGCCGGCCGTGCAGCCCCACCGACCCCAGGCTGCCGCAGCCTGGGCGGCGTGGTCGGCCTGCGGAGGCAGGGCCCGCTGCAGTCTTCCACTCCGCATCGAAAATTGGTCTCGCGATGTCGCAAGAGAGAAACAGCACAGACTGTGTGCGGGACACCTTCGGAAATTGGGCTGTCACAGAGAGGCAGCGTAGTTGTGGAAGTTACAGCAGGCGCGGAAGGACGGGAGGGGTGGGCGGGTCCTGCAGGCGAGAGCACGGATGAGCGGACGGACGCCGTCAGTTTCCGTCACCGCTTTGACTCGAGCCGTCGTGCAGTTTTTCCCCGCCCGCTCTCTGCTCCCGAGAAGTGTCATGGCAAACTTCGTTCGGAAAACGATAGGATGGGCCCGGAGTGTACTGGAGAATTTCGTTCCAGATTTCGAGGTGACTTCCGTGCGGTTTTCTGGTGCCGGGAACGGAGACCAAAATCAGGAGGGGAAAAACATACACAGTCACAATTGATCGTCGATTCCCCAGACAATATGGGGAAATATGGGAAATGGGGGGGAAAACAAAAACATAGAAAATACAAGACAATTTGGGAATCCTGCTATTTGTGTGTGTGTGTGTGTATTTATGTGTGTGTGTGTGTCCTGCAAGGCGGGTGCAATGAAAAAGGGTCGTTTCAGTTTTGCACGGCCGTGCAACCCCGCAAACCGCCCAGGTTGTTGCGGCCTGGGCGGCGGCGTCGGCTTGCGGATGCGGGGGGCGCTGCAGCCTACCCCCGCGCATCGACAATTGGCTTCGCGATGTCGCAAGAGAGAAAAAGAAGAGGGTGGGCGGGACACCTTCAGAGGGGTGTTGAAGATATTGCGGGTTGCTTCCCCAGTCGAAGGGCTGGAGTCAGGGTTCGAGGTGCGAGGGGGGAAACAGAGGAGCAGCAGCAGGAGGATGAGGGACGGAGGACGAGGAGGAAGCAGGACGAGTGAGGGCGAGGGCGAGGGCGCGGAAACGGAGTCGGCAGCGGGAGGGAGCGGCGGATGAGGAGGGGGTGCGGGGTCCGAGCGTCGAGGGGCCGAGGGTCCTCGAGCATTTTTTGAGGATCGGAGGCAGCGATGATTCGGAGGTCCAGCGTGCCGGGAATCGAGTGTCGCATGCCGAGGAGGCGAGGAGCGACGAGCGGGGTGCGAGGAGTGGGGGGCGAGGGCCGAGGGTTCGGGGGTCGGGGATCAAAGGGTCGAGGGAGGAGGAGGAGGAGGAGTAGGAGGAGGAGGAGAGGTGGAGGAGGAGGAGGAGGGGGAGGAGGAGGAGGAGGAGGAGGGGAGAGAGGAGGAGGAGGAGGAGGAGGAGAGGAGGACGCGGAGGAGGCGGAGGAGGACGCGGAGGAGGCGGAGAGGAGGAGAGGAGGAGAGAGGAGGAGAGAAGGAGGGGAAGGAGGAGGAAGAGGGGGACAGGAGGGGGAGGAGGAGGAGGAGGAGGAGGAGGAGGAGGAGGAGGAGAGGAGGAGGAGGAGGAAGGGAGGAGGAGGAGGAGGAAAGGGAGGAGGTTGAGGAGGAGGAGGAGGAGGAGGAGGAGGAGGAGGGGGGGGGGGAGGAGGAGGAGGAGGAGTAGGAGGAGGAGGAGGTTCGATGAACGGGGGTGGAGGCTTCTGGGGTCGCTGGTTCGGGGATCAAAGGGCCGAGGACGCAGGGTCGAGGGGCGACGGTCCTGGCACCGGAGATGGCGGTTCGAGGGTCGAGGTCCGAGGGCCGAAGATCTGGGGCAGGGGATCGTCGGTGCCTGGTTGGGGGTCTCACGGGGCGCCCTCGCCTCCACGTTTTTTGTTTTTGTTGTTCGTTCTCTCTTCCTTTAATATACATATATATATACACATACTAACGAATCCGAAATCTTGTCCAAAGCGCGCCCAGGGAGAGGCCAGGAGGATCGTTGTCGTCGCCGTCGTGGCTCCTTCCGCCTCGTGCCCCCCTGTTTTTGTCCTCCCCGCCCTTCACTTCCCCCCCCCTGAAGACCAAAGTGTGAAACGCATCTGCCTTTTCGGGGCGCTGGAAAGGTAGAACAACGAAGTGGTTTGCACTCCACATTCACCTCCTCCACTTCCTCATTCCCCCCATCGTGCTTCGCGGCCGTCATACAGTCGTGGCGCTGAAGAAGGAACCCTTTCGTTTGGGAGGGGCTCCGTGTTCCTTACTTGTTTTACGTTGCTCCTTGGGCTTTCCGGAGGTTTTCGTTGGAACATCGGAGTTCATCCAATTTATGGGCAAAAGGGGCCTCGTTCCTTTTTTAGGGTTCCTTGGGTCAACGCCCCTATCCTGCCTGGTATCCTTTTCCTGGCCAGCGTGTGCTGAGTTTATTCTATTGGGAAAAAGGGGCCTCGTTCCTCATTTAGGGTTCCCTGGGTCAGCGCCCCTTCTGTACGGTAGGTTTGCGTCGTGTCGACCAGCGGCGACCCCAGCGCGGGCGTTCAAGGTTGAACGCCGCCGGCGACCCAGAATCGATCGACGTTGAACGATCGGACGTTGCGGCCGCGGCCGATCGTTCAAGGTTGAACGATCCCTGCGGTGTCAAAAACCAACGCTGGGGTCGACACGACACGAACCTGCCGTACGCTTTTCCACCCGCCCGCCCGCCCCAGTGCGCCCCGTGTCCGGCGCGGCCCGTCGGCTATGCAGTCGCGCTCGCGTTCTCGCCAGCGGATCGGGCGGAGACCGTTGGAGAGGGGAAGGTCCTGGAGAGGGGACGAATGGCGGGCGGACGCGCGGGGAGGAGGAGGAGGGGGAGCAGGAGGAGGAGGAAGAGGAGGAGGACGAGGAGGAGGACGAGGACGAGGAGGAGGAAGAGGAGGAGGAGGAGGAGGAGGAGACAGAGGAGGACGAAGAAGCAGAAGAAGAAGAAGAATAGGAGAAGGAGGAGGAGAAGGAGGAGGAGGAGGAGGCGGAGGAGGAGGAGGAGGGGGAGGAGGAGGAGGAGGGGGAGGGGGAGGAGGAGGTCGGAGGAGGTGGAGGAGGAGGTGGAGGAGGAGGAGGAGGAGGAGGAGGAGGGGGGGGGTGTTCGCTGTTCGTTGTCCAAGCAGGAGCGTAAGGGAGGGGAGCACGGACCAGCACTCTGACAAGAAGGCGCGACCCGGCGTCGCACAGCGCACGGCGCTGGCGAGGCCACGCAAAGGGATCGCCCAGACGCGAGGACATCCCCAACAAGGTGAGGGGCGTTCGTGGGCCAATTGAACTTGCACCACAATCGTAAAGGAACTGTCCACTCTGCGAAGAAATGTTGGGGCCAGCGATCAGGGCTCAGATTCGCATGCTGATCCCGCCGTCGCCCCGCCGTTGCAGGCAAAACTTTCGGGGCGGTCACGCACCTGCTGCCCTCATATGCGCACGACGAAGATCCCGGCCCCCGTCACGCTGGCGCCGCGACGTGCCAGGCAGGCAGCCGGTCTCCCGAGCGAGCCGCGCAGCTGGACCCCGATGTTTGTGGAGCGCGCCTCGCGTCGCCTGCCTTGCAGCTCGACGGCGGGCTTCCAGAATGTGGGCAACCAGTCGGCATCGCCCTCCAATGCCCCGTGGGCACGGGGGGAATGCGTTCTGCTTCCGTGGAGGTCCAGCGCGTCTGGGCAGACTCTGCGTCCAAAGAGAGACCAAGGTCGGTGATACAGTCGGGGCGCTGAAGAAGGAACCCTTTGCGTTGGGGAGGGGCTCGCTGTTCCTTGATTGTTTCAAAGTTTGCCTCAGGCTTTCCTTAAGTTTTCGAAGGTAAATCGAAGTTGAACTTGTGGGAAAAGGGGCCTCGTTCCTTATTTAGGGTTCCTTAGGTCAACGCCCCGACTGTACGTTCTGCTTCCATGGAGGTCCAGCGCGTCTGGGCAGACTCTGCGTCCAAAGGGAGACCAGGGTCGGTGATGCGGCGGCCCGCGCGACTCTGCAGGGCCCGGGCCCGGCTCGCTGCGCATGCCGTGCTGGGGAGGTGGCCCCCGCGAGTGCGATGGGGGGCCCCGCCGCTCTTGGAGCGCCTGGTGGTTTGCACGTGCCGTCCGGCGTCGGGAGAGGCCCCGGTGAGCTCCGCCAGGCAGCCGATTCAGACCAGGCCGAAGAAGTGGTACACCCAAGGGAAGCCGCGGTTGGCTCGCGGCGCTGCGCCGCGGCGCCCCCGGGACTGCGTGCGGAGGGGCCCTGGCCGAGAGGCCCGCCGCGCGCCATGCTCTGAGCCGCCCTGGGAACCGTGGACCCAGATCCGCCTGTCCTCCTGGCCCGGACCATGATGGGCCTGTGATCCACGACTGCTCCCAATAAGTAGGAGGGGGTGGAGGGGGTCCTCCTCCTCCTCCTCCTCCTCGTCCTCCGTCTTGTCCTCCTCTTCCTACTCCCCCTCGGTTTCCTCCTCCTCCTCCTCCTCCTCCTCCTCCTCCTCCTCCTCCTCCTCCTCCTCCTCCTCCAAGTCCTTCCATTCCGCCCTGGAGGGGCCCCCCAAGAGTGGGGGTCGGGCCTGTGTGCCCCCTGGTGCAGGCGGGGAGCACCGGGCCTTCAGGGTACAAGCCCCCGCACCCTGGGGACGGCCGCCATAAGCGCGGCCTTCCTTCCCCAGGGGGGTCGCCAGGTCCCGTGGCCTCCCCCAGGGCGGTGCAGGATTCCCACCTTGCACTCGCCGCCCTGGGGCGGGACCGGCGGCTCCTCCCGTCGTTGTCGTGCGTTTCGTGTCGTGTCGTGTGTCTTCGGTCGTGTCGCGTCCCCGTCCCCCGTCGTGTCGTGTCGTCGTGCCGGCGCGAGCGCGCCGTGAGCTCCCGGGCGAACAGTCGCCCCAGGCGGGAGGCAAGGGCGCCACGTGCTGAGGCCGCTGGCCCACCCTGCGGCGGGCGCGCCACCGGCGCGCTTGCTCGGGGTGCCGAGACCAGGG